ACTCATTCCCGTATCTCAGGGAACCGAGGTTACGCTAGTAACCGAGTACGGTTTTTTTTTTTTTTTTTTTTAATTCCAATATTTATGTTTTAGTAAATATTAGTAATTTTAGTACTTCAGCTTTAACAATTTACTTTTCACCCAAGACAACAAGTTTTTCGTGTAATAGCCTCTTTATATTTCATTTCAACTTATTTCAATTATCAAAAATGATTTAGGAGACAACGACAACAACACATTCATAAATATACAAATATTATCCAAACACAATATTTACCTGTAGGTAGGCTGGGGCATAGCCGGTACCACTGTTCTGGCTGTTGTATATGATTATTCGTAGGTACCCTGGATAAGAAGGGGCGCTGACTTGACCCTCAGCAGAAACGAAGAACATCTGCACCCCGCTAGGCAAGAACAAAGTCTCCATGCCAGCCTCTCTGAGATTGACTGGGGCAAACGCCTGGCGGTGAGGTGTCCGGTTTGGAGCAGCTTGAAATGGCCCGTTGCCTCCATGGGAGAGTGACAGCTGCCCTTCAGTTGGTTGTGGAGTGTAGGCTGGTGGAAGTTCAGCGGGTACAGTGAAGCCCGCCGTAGGGGAGGCAGGATGAGCAGAGGCCCCCCCTGAAGCTGAGAGAGGTGTTCTGGTGATAACTATTGGCTGGGGGTCCTGGAGGACAGGAACGGTCGGATAAAGGCGCTGACCCGAGTTCGCTGTGGACTCCAGCACCCCTAGACGATCAGTGATGGTGCTCAGAGTCTCGTTCATCCTCAGCTGCGTCTGTCGCGCGAAGTCCCAGTAGCGCCCGACGCAGCGCTCACCGTGGGTGTTCACCTCTAGCCCTCTGAGAAGATGCCGCCTGCCCAGTTTGTACAGAAGAAGCGCTTGGTCCTTATTCCCCACCTCGTCATACTGAAGCCCTGAGTTCAGACACTGCAGCGCTTTCTCATAGTTCTCACGAATGGTGCGGATTTCAGCCGGTTCTGATGACTCCATTACCGTGCCAGAACACGCAAAATGTAGGCTATAACCCTTCTAAAACGAAAAAAAGTTAAATTTGAAATGTACAAAAAGGGTGGCAGTTTTGGCGGCGTGCGCTTAAAATAGTAATGAAGAGATTTTTCCCATGAAGTCACTTAGCGAAATTATGTAGCATAATCACCAAGCAGGTTCAACCAGATTACGAAAAAAACAAAATTCTTAAACGCTTCTGGTCACTGACGCTCTGCTGATGTTAAAAGTTGCACTTAAAGTCAACCCGAATAGGGCTCTGTTCGTCTCCGTTCATACCCAAAACGATTTTAGCGCCTACATCGGAGTTAAAGACAAACTTGAATATAGAGAGGGTGGTGTTAAACTGCACTGCAATGACCCTTAGTAGGAGTGCGCGATGGACCACCTGCGCGGTTTCGATCGCTTATGTTTGCTGCCACTTAACATGGCTTATGCGTTATGAAATATGTTCCCATACATATAAACTGGATTGACAACAAACAAGTTCTCTTTCGTAAAATGAGACGCGAGACAGAGCGAACGGCAGAGGTCGTCGTGCACCATAAAATCAAATTAGGACTAGGCAGAAACAGATTTTACAACGGAAGCAATGCAACTTGTTTCGTTTATTGAAATTCAGTTGTGTACATGATTTTGCACATAGCATATAAGTAAAATACATGGTATACCCGAAAAAGAGACCCTAAAAAAGGAAAGAAAGTGGTACAAAACAATTAGCTCATTTCATATCCCTGTTGAAAAAACCAGCATATGCTGGTTAGGTATGTTTTGACGCTGGGATGCTGGTTTAAGCTGGTCCTTTGCTGGTTAAACATACCTAACCAGCATATGCTGTTTTTTTTCAACAGGGATACCAATATGGGAGAACACAGCCTCCAGACCAACAGCATGTTGGATTTACAAAGAAACAAGTCACAATATTGCTGACTACTTAATAGTCTTAAGCAACCTATGATAAATCACATTATGAAGTTTAAAAGCCACATTTAAAAAAGCAATCATTCAATATTTACAATAGACTTAAGCGCTGCAGTTCATTTATTGGCCAGGTCACCAAAACATCAAGGGGGAGGCAGTGACTCCACAGGTTCAAGCAGGGACACTCCACAATATCTGAAAGCCCAGATCAGGCATTAGGAAGAGGGTAGAATCCAAAACACCCACATTACAAATGCCTGCTTACTTTGCACTCTTGTATTTCTCCTGGATTGCCTGTTGGGGGCGACCTGCAGCCCCTAGATCAGGGCTGTCCAAACTCGGTCCTGGAGGGCCAGTGTCCTGCAGAGTTTAGCTCCAGTTTGCCTCAACACACCTGACTGGAAGTTTCTATGCCTAGTAAGAGCTTGATTAGCTGGTTCAGGTGTGTTTAATTAGGGGTGGAGCTAAACTCTGCAGGACACCGGCCCTCCAGGACCGAGTTTGGACAGCCCTGCCCTAGATGGAGCTTATGAAGTTCCTTCAAACACGGGCTGATCACTGCCAGCGAGTAACCAGTGAAGGCATACAGGTTTTCAGGCTGCCAAAAACTCACACCCAACAGCTCAATTTGTCTCACAAGTATTTGGGGGTTTATACCAAAACTACACACCTGTCTATAGTTCTGGAAGCATTAAAGGACTTGATTGGCTCATCCAAATAAGACAGTTACAGTAAAAAGGTTGGACTCACCCAAAAAAAAAAAAAAACACCCCATTTAGAGTGCAATTGGCCAGACAAAAATGCAGCTGCAGCAGTCTTGGAAGGTAGATACTGCACAAAGGGATCCACCTCAAGCAAGCTCAACTCTGAAAGATACTGTTGGGGCAGAGAGAGAAAAGAATCGATATCCAATTCAGAGGAGAAGTTTCACAAAATGAAACACTCACCAAAGCAAGGTTTACAGTCCTGACACAGATATGCTCCACTTAAGTGTACTGCATCAAAAACTGGTGAACTGTGGGTGCAGTCAGGTCAAAAACCAGCACTCGGAGCAGGTGCTGCTCCATCCGAAGCAGCTGTTTCTTTGTGTAGGTGTCATCTGTGATGTACACAAACTCATCCACTTCCGGAGGACACACCTCCTCGTATTACCTAATCAGCAACACACCAGGTCGTTACATTAGTAGGTAACAAACTTGATAATAGCTCATCACCACTTACACAGCCAGGAGTACGGCAGCTGTTCCCACAAGCTGCAATTTTACTCTCAGGACAGGCATGCACGAAAGGAAGCGGTCCAAGTAATTGACAGCCAAGTAGAGCGTCTCCGAGCACAACTTGTATTCCTCACCGACCTCAACCAGCCAGTCAACAAGGATGATCCTCATACCGTTGGTTATGTCAGGCTGCTTTCTCATATAACCAGGCTTCGGCCTGTATTTAACCTGAGAGATGCAGTGCATTACAGATACAGGGCTACTCGAGAGACCGTCTAAAAACTAAATATACCAACTTCACATTCACTCAAATATCGGTGGATGTCCTCAGCATATTCTACACACAGGATATCCTCAGGGGAAGCGTCCTCCTCTGGCAATGACAGCATGGAAGAATCCATGCAAGACCCTAAATATTTTAGGAAGTATAAAGTCTTAAGCCTCAGTCACAAGGAATCTGAACTGCAATTGATGAAGTGTCTTTTAGTTTGATGTTTTTAATGTGAATAAACAACCATACAGCCTTAAAATGCTATGATAGATGGGTGCATAAAAAACCCCCCACTATTGCAGTTGTATAGAAAGTGAAGAAAAGTAGAGACACTTACAAAAACTATACTATTGTAGTTGCATAAGTAGTTGAGATTAAAATTAGACAATGTCTTAAAGCTGTGATTGTTATAAATATAAAGAGATTGAAAACCCAGTTAAAATTAAGTGGAAAAAAAAACAAAAGACCGTTACATAATTAGTTAAACTTAAAAACAAACTACTGTAGTTCCACACGTCTTAAAGCTGGCAGTGTTAGATAAAACATTAAATATAAGTAAAGCAATGCAGAGAATTACATAAAGTTGGTGTAGTTGTACACAAATATTACAGACACTTTAAAGTGGTGACTGATTCATTTTAAAAGTTTTATGATTTTTAAAAAAACAATTACAGCTGTAAAACAAATAGTTTATTTTACTTTTAATATTTACGCACCCTCTCTTATGGACTTCATCTTTCAGCATACCTGAACCAAGATCTTGGACAGCATCATCTAAAAGCAGAAGCTCTGAAGGCAGCAAGAAGTTAAGAATGAGGGTGATTTAGCTGACGGCACAATACTGACTGGTTCAACCACGTGATCAAGTGTAGCACTCGATGTGCTGACGTCACGGGTAAATGAATCTCGAAAAGCTTGCTCATAGTTGGATGAAACCAGTGGTGTAGTCTAGTTTTTTGTAGTGGGTATACTCTGATTGATTCCCCCTCCCCCCAGTATGTAACATACTGTTATACTATTTAAACTTATTCTTTGAGACCAATAATTTTCAACTGTACTGTATCCTCCTAGGGCTTTAATGCTACAGGCACCAAACTCGCCAGAGACCTTGGACCTGATCTGTAGTTTGTTTCTATATCTTTTCTAACTGATGGGACTTGCTGTTTTCATATAAATAATTATCGAAAATCAAATAATTCCCATAGGCTTGCATTGGCTGAGCAAAAATGCCCTCTCTAGAGGACAACTTCAGTCCACTAGAGAGAGCCACAGGATAAGAAATCTTTCAACTCCCCTCATTTACTTTCGTTTTCAGTCAGTTAAATTTACAAATAATTGCACACTTTTCCTTATGCTGCCAAGCAAAGCTAACATATGTGATCATGACCAGATCAGGTGACTATCTGATGTCCAGAGGCCAGTGTGAAAGACGTTCGGGACATTTGACTGATCTGTCACTGCTCCTATGGGGCCACTGGTGCGTCCTCATGCAACAATCATTTGCACGTTTTTTAAGCCTTACCAATTAAAACATTCAAGCGATTCCTGTCATCTGCTGCAGCTGAAGCATCAGCAGCTTCAGGGGCAGGCTTACGAAAACGCTTAAAGAGTGTAGTTTGAGTTTGCTTTCGTTTCATATCTCCTTTAGTGAGTCACATTCAATTCTGCACAAAAGTTGCGCAATAGCACTGTCATCAACAGAAACATGGCGTGATTTTCAAAAAGTCGGTGCTTCGCAACACAGACGGGGTGAATTTATGAATGAACGTGTGAAAGTTCTGTGACAAAACGATGTTGTTTTACATATCCTCTTGCTTTAAGTGGGTATACGGAAATCCTTGACCTTTCTTAGTGGGTATACGGCGTATACCTGCGTATCACGTAGACGACACCACTGGATGAAACCTAATTAAGAGACAAAAACGTCACTTTCTTACACTCTTGACTTGGAGTAGCATTGTAAGCACTTGGCACTAACCTGACCAAACACTCGGTTATGCTGATCATTTTCGGTCAAAACACAGAGCACAACCCTTTGGCCGGGCTTGTGAGCACGTAGGCCATCTGCTCTTCCCAGACCCATTAGGGTTTTCCTGATGACTGGAAAGAGGAGCGAAGCCACAGGAAGCCATTTTATCTGCTAAAAATTAGTCAATTTAAGGTCAATTCAAATTATGAACAACTACTCGAATACGACTTCAAAGACATAAAAAAAACCCCGTTCAAAACAAATCTTTTCTTGCATTAAACTCAGTACTTTGACACTGATTAGCTGGCTAACTCTTTTATACGAGCACGTCGATATTCATGACCAATTGACATGAGGTTAGTTAACACAGTTGACTTAATTGAGATCTGCTACGCTTTCCAGTTGTTGCAAATAAATGCTAATTAAACTCGCAGCAATAGGTGATTGTCTTCAGAAACAAGAAATGGCAGAAAATGGAAGAAGGAAATAACATTTAAGATATTCTTAGAGAACAAGGGATGGAAAGAAACAGACTCAAAGCTTGTTTATATTTCTTGAAAATACTGGATTAATAAGAAGAATTTAGAAACGAAAAGACAACCCTTTGTGTTTTTTTTTTCTTTTCTATGTCCCTTTACACACTCCTGTACAGTAGGTGGCAATATGCAATACTTACAAGTTGCAAAAGCCAAGAAAAAAGAAGAAGAAGAAGAAGAAGTCTTAAGAAACATTTTTTGTTATGCTGGTTGAAAGTCTCTTCACATCACGATAGCAATCATTAAGTTAATGTTCGTCCAATCAAAACGCTCGGTCCGAGCGTTTTAACTGGCTTTCCTACCTGCCTGTCAACGTATGTATTAGCATACCTCTGCGCACCCTGTTCATGCAGACA